ATATGATCAATGCATGCCATAATTACTGAAATCAATGAAAAGTTGGTGTTGCTAGTGTAGTAGCCAGGAGTGCAAGACTGTGGTTTCTCAATATGGACAACAGATCCTACATCTGTTGCAAATGGTGGTCTCAAGAGTGATCCAATGTGCAATGCCTGTGAGATGGCTGTGGTATGGATGCAGTAAGACAATGTGCTTAACTGAATTTTAGTGCAAGGCATTTCTGTACCACTTAGTGCAAGCCCACACCTATTTTTTGTCCTTGTACTTTCATAGAAAAAATTGTTTCTTGTGATTTGTGCCAATACACATTTTCCTTTCTTTTCTGTGATTTGTGCCAGCACACACCAAAATTTTGTCCTTGTCATTTCATAGAAAAAATTGTTATTTGTGATTTGTGCTAACACATCTTGAACTTTGTCAATTGTGATTTGTGCCAACACACACCTCGTTTTTGTCCTTGTCCTTCCATAGAAAAAATTATTTCTTATAATTTGTGCTAACATATCTTGAACTTTGTTAATTATGATTTATGCCAACACACACCTCATTTTTGTTCTTGTCATTTCATAGAAAAAAATTGTTTCTTATGATTTGTTCTAACACATCTTGAACTTTGTTAATTGTGATTTGTGCCAACACACATTCATTTTTGTCCTTGTCCTTCCATAGAAAAAAAATATTTCTTATGATTTATGCTAACACATCTTGAACTTTGTTAATTGTAATTTGTGCCAATACACACCTCATTTTTATCTTTGTCTTAGTATCTCAAATTGAATGCCTCTTTGTTCTCTTGTTCACTGTGCTTGACTAAATATTTCTCGTGCTTGCTACTATAGCCTTTTAAGAGTGCTATTAGCTCTGATTTTTCATTAAGTGGCTTGCTTGGAACAATTGTGTTCTTTTCTATTCTATATGCAGCAGAACATAGTCTAGAGAACATCTCAGCTACCAGTAGTCGTAGGATTATATACTTTTTTTGAGTACATTGATAGCTTGTGTGAGTTACTGAAATGACACGTATGTATATTTTTTGAAATAGTAGATGATTAAATTTTAATATATTTAGGTACCCATGGAGGAGGAGGATTTCCATTCTTATGGTGCATCCACAAATGGTGACAATTTTTATACTTGTTCTAATCATGTGATGGTTGACAACCATTTTTTCTATTTGTTTTCAGTCCAAAGACAATGTGAAATTAGTTGCAGTGAAGAATGGCCAAACTATTTGTAGTCCTGACTTGCATGTTTCAGACCTAGAAACCATTCCCTGTCATTCAAAAGAAAATCAATTGGCTAAAAATGTAACTCCTGATTTGGATCGTACTGGTTAGTATCTATTTTTTGACTGCACATTTATTAGCAGTAAATTGCATATTTGAACTACTGCAATTATGTTATTTGACATGTGCAATATCCATTCTTCTCACCTATAAGTTTTATTTTTGTTTACGATTTTCCATTTGATTAATCAGGAAAAGCAACGGTTCAGAAACCTTGTACTAAAAACACTCCCTACTTTAATATTCCAAGTGCACCTTCATTTAGATTGTTTGATGATGAAGATGACTTAGGAAATTTTGTTGAAGATCCTAAAATGAGGCGTCCTCTTGGTACTAAAAACCCTGAGATCGCATTCAGTTATATATTAGGTCTTGATTCTGTTGTTTATATAGAAGACGTTTCGTGCTTGAACAAACATGTCTGAATTTAAATGGCTAAGCTACCAAGGGTTGTACACCATGGTTCTGGAGAAGGATGGAGAGACCATTTCAGTAGCCATGCTGAGGTTTGTACACTAGTTGAATTTTGAATAGTTGTAGTATGTAGTATTCTCTTCTTGGCTCCTCTTCATAGCTGTTGTAGTAGAATAGTAGGAGCTCACATCTTTTAAGTTGATTCTAATCTAGTACAAGAAAGCTGTGTTTAGTATCTATTTCTTGATTGCACATTTATAAGTAGAAAATTGTACACTTAAATTTATGCAATTATGGTGTTTACGATGTGCAATATCCGGTCTTTATATATAACTTTCCCACTATTTGTTTTCCTTTTTACAATTAATTAAGCAGGAAAAACATATGTTCAGAGAGCTTACATTAGGAAAACTCTTTACTTTCATAGTCCAAGTGTACTATCATTTTAGGGTTGACATTTTTTTATCATTTCTGCAAAGTTTCTTGAGAACCTGAAAAGTAGGACTCCATTCATTGACTACTAACTCCTTTGTTGATGCATTACAACGGCCCTGTTTGGATACTCTAGCACAGCTAGAGGTTAGAGTTAGTTTCTAGCTCAGGACTAGCCCTGAACTAACTCTAGCCTAAGAGATGTTTGGATACAAGAGTTAAAATGATAATAAATGTGCTTTCCAAATCATTGGTGCAGGTGAAAGTAGAGAGAAAACAGTGGACCCCACCTCAAATAGCCCCAACTAGCCCAAATAATCACCTCTTTGGGGGGATAATTTTTTAGGATGGGCTAGTTGCAAATAACCCACTCTAGCCCTACTGTTTGGCTACTTTAGGACTAGTTGAACTCCAACTAGCCCAAACTAGCTCTAACCCATGGATCCAAACAGGGCCAACATCTGACGAGAAACTGAACTGGTCCTTTTGATGCAGCCAATCTTTAGATGAGAGACAGTGGCCTGGAGGTGATGCTGAGGTAGACCTTAGTTTCTTGAACCAGATAACACTGCAGCTAGAGGTGCAGCGGTCTGATTTACGTCTACCAAAGGTGCTAGAATTCGTGTGCTAGTGCTTTGATGGATCTAACACCCCGAGTGCTAGTTGCTTCTGAAACACACGGACTTAACTTAGACAGACTAGCCACACGTCGTCGTAGAGCGATGCAAGACCCGGTAGTGTTCGGTCAACTTTGGGGGCGTGTTTTAAAAGGCCAAACGTTTGACTTTGTCTCGCATGGCTACAGTGCCAGATCCAAGTTTCGACTTAGCCAAGCGATGCCATTTTTCATAATGAGGTTAAGCACCTTTTATCTGACGACACCTGCTGCTTGGTGTTGTTTTGGGGAAAACGTACATATTCCATCGACGATCACGAGTTATTAAGCAGTAAGCACCGGTGTGCTTATTATTCCAACTTAAACACAGGGATTCTGTCGACGAAGAAGGCAGACACGGTAGCAACAGCAGCAGTTTGCCGTGAATTAAACAGGCAGAGTTTGTGCAGCGACTGTTTAGAGGCCGGCACTGGGTGACGCGAAATGCGCGCACGCGACTGCCGTCACACTTTTTTTTAATTACACGGTGTATCTTTGAAGACTGAGTTGATTAATGTTCGAGTTTGACGAAGCCATAATATACACTGTCGATGAGAACGTTGTCTACCACCGAAAACCCAACATCGTAAAATCCTAAAATATTCGCTCCTATATATGTTCGAACCCAGGACCTAAGGTGCTGCTAAGACGCTCTTGTAAACACTACGCTACATACGCTTTCGCGACTGTCGTCACCCTTGGGTGCTTTGGAATTGGATTTGTTCCGTGTCTTACCCGAATTGTCTGTGAATCAACATAGCGTATCCTGTTGTACCGTGGGTCCGTCGTAGAGCCGGGAGTCAGGGCCAGTTTGTCGTCCAGCGTTGGCGCGCCGACGCCTTAATGGCACACCGTAGACATGCAATTCATGCGACGCAAGCGCAGAATAACACGTGTGGCAGATTTTTTTTTCCTTCCTTTTGAAAGCTCCTAAGCAAATATCTGAGGTGACGGAAAAATTAGCAAGGAAAGTGAAGAAAGATTGCACAGGTCCATAGTCCATAGATCATTACCAGGTCTAAATTAGACATCCTGCATGTTCTAAACCCAGCATCACTACCAGAATTAGATCCGATAGTGAGCAGCAGTCGACAATGATAGAGTTGTCGGCTCACGCACCTGGTAGCGATTAGAACATTTCACTGCTGGCTAGACCCGACAGAATGTTAAAGGAATTTTAGGCCTTGTTTAGATTGCAAATTTTTGCAATCTGGACACTGTAACACGTTTCGTTTGTATTTGACAAACTTTGTCCGATCATGGACTAATTAGCCTCAAAAGATTCGTCTCGTGATTTACAACCAAACTGTGCAATTAGTTACTTTTTTTACCTACATTTAATACTCCATGCATGCGTCCAAAAACTAATGTGATGGAGAGAGAGTGAAAAAATTTAGAATTTTGGGCAATCTAAACAAGGCCTTAGGAGCAAAAATATATTGCTTTCTTAATCAACCTATTTATTCCATTCTATTGCCTTGATTAGATGCTAGCAGCCCTGATTAATTAAGGTCTCCTTTAGATGCTAGCAGCCCTGATTAATTAAGGGATCCTTTGGCGCGAGAAGTTCCTGCATGGGGCCGGACGACAAGGGCGACATCTAGGCGGCGTGGGCCCCACGTGGGGCGTGCGAAACGAAGTGCAGGCGCGGGTGTCTGGACGTGAACGTCCGTCTAGACATCCAGACGCTATCACTACCGTTATTTATTTTTTGTTTTAAAAAATGGTCCTTTATTTAATGGTGGACACTGTAATTAGCTGCTGAAACAATAGGCAACAGACGGAAAGAAAACCGTGCAATCCGTTCATATTCCAGGAAAAAAATTGCCAGATTACATATTACATATACTATAGACTGATTTGTCAACTGTGGCCCTATTTCGAAGTGAATACGTATATATTAGATGCATATCCAGAGTCCAGACATTACAAGTGCGTCAGGGGAACAGTCTCAAGCCAGGTAGGAGTACTTGCATTGATGTTACTAGTACGTTAACAAATGGTGGAAGACCTCAGACCAGAACCCTTTTTTCTGTAATACGAAATGTGTTTAAGCTACTCTATTCCATAGCCATCTTCCTGCCGTGATCAGCTACGATGCAATTAAGCATTGCAAGCATCCAACAAATAACCTGTGCAACAGCACCCATGATCTTTCGTTCTTCTCCTTCAACGAGAAACACGGTACCTGCATCCTAACCATTGCGACTTCAATTCTGCAGGATCGTAGTGGGACGAGAGGACTCTGCCGGCGGCACGGCAGCGGCAGCGGAAGGCCGCGAGGAGCTGGAGCTGCTCGCCTGCGCTGCGCGGTCGAGGAAGAAGCAGTAGGCGACGTAGAGCGCCCCGCAGACGGCAGCGGCGTGCGGGAACGGGACGATGAGGTGGAGGAGCAGGGCGGCCACGAGGAAGACTGGCCAGAAGACGATCCCGTAGGTGGCCACGCTGACGCGGTCGCTCTGGCGGTAGGCGCCATCGCCGTAGAAGAAGAGCAGCACGTCGTGCCTATCCAGGTCGAGGAGGCGGCCGTGAGGCGCCATGGTTTGATAGCTTCGGGAGATTTCTTGCCGGCGTCGAGGTCGATCCACTACTGTGCTAGCTACTGCGGTTGGCACTTGCACTTGCAGCGGACTGAAGATGTCTGCCTTTTAACAGAAGGACGCACGACTACATGTACTTATTATAATCAAACCACGTGTTCAACGTGGTCTAAGCATGAGCCACGAGGCTAGCTTCCTGGCCATTGCGAGCCCATCATGCATATCCATCGAGGTCTTGTTCGTTCACATGGAACAAAATGCATTGCCGCGAAAGAACAAAACGTGGACGAAATTGCATTTCACGTGGAAGAAAAATAATGTATAAGCACTGTCCTCAGATTCCGAACGATTTAACAAAAGGACAAAACATTTGTACTTTCTACGAAAAGGAAAAGTCTCCGCATCTCCTCAAGGACTGTACCCAGTACCCATCAAAGTTTTTACATATATTATATATATATAAGCTATCTAAGTAATTTTAGTATATACTACCTCCGTCTCTAAAAGAATGTAATTCTTGCACAGTGTCATGTTTTAGTGCATTAAGTTTGGTCAATTATAGATACAAAAGGTATCTATATTTATGATACCAAATAAATACCATCAGATTAATTACGAAATATATTTTTATAATAAATTAATTTAAAGACATAATTGTGATGTTCATGCATGCAAAGGAAAACCAAACATCGCACCTACGAGAACATGCACATAAATTCTATCACTATGAGCTTCTTCGAAGACTAGACCGACTTGAGATTGACGAAGCCACCATATACGCCTCGCTGTCCGACGGGAACGTCGCCCTACAACTGAAAGCACAATTGCCCCGTTCGCTGGTCTGAAACTTGGCTGAAAAACACTATTCCGGCTGGTTTGTTGTGAGAGAAAAATAATATTCGGCTGGTTTGGTGAACAGTAATTTGTGAGAGGGATCAGCCAGCTGGCTGAACACATTCAGACCAGCGAACGGCCTCAATGTCTGATTCGGAGCCTCTTGGGCTGGCGAAGGAGCAGAAACTCTACTACGCTCGTTGGGATGCCTTGAAGCAGAGGTAAGGGTGTGATGATGGCAATAACATTATTGTTGTCAAAGATATTGCCGGTGCAGAAAATGACCAACTAGTAAATATTTGTCGTTTTGTCGTATGTTGTGATCGGATGTGGCGTAGCACTTAATGACATAGGGTTTATACTGGTTCAGGCAACGTGCCCTACGTCCAGTTTGAGTCGGCTGGTGACTTTATTCCTGAGCTCATGTGGCAGAACCGCCCAAAATAGCACACTTACGGAGGAGCTCGTCTTCCATCAGACACTAAGCACCCTGAAAGCGAGCTACAGCGAGCGGTGTCCGTCGGGCACACCCCGAGGGAGAACCCGAAAGATCCACAATTTTCCCAATGATCCAATAATGAGAACGAGTTACAATACCAGTCCATTTCATACATCAGAGTTTCTTAAAAAGATACATTATTACAATACCAAATACCAGAGTACGAAATGGTAAACAGCGGAATTTAAAAATATACATCTAGCGATAGGGACGAGGATCCGTCTGAGCGCACCAGAAGAATCCTCCACACAAGGTACTTCTTAAACATCACCTGCAACAGGGGTAAATAAACCCTGAGTACACAATGTACTCGTAAGACTTATCCGATGGGAATAATTTCCCGACTCCAAGGAATATGATAAGCTTTATGGTTTGCTTTAGCAGAAAGCAATACTAATAATGAGTCCTTACTTAGGTGCCGTATTAAGTTATCATCTAGCCAGTCTATATAAGCACTTGTACTACTTTCAAGCAATGGTTGAGCAATCAGTTCCAATTCTTCTCCTTTCAACTTTTAGTTTTTACTACGGTGCTAAACACGAGACAAGCCGTACCGGATTGCCCGGCGATTCGCGAATAAATGTGCCCAGCTGGGTGCCCCGAAAACACACGCCCCGCTTGTACCCTAGGCACAAGCAGGACTAACCCATCACCCTCCTGTCCCGGATGTCTAGGTCCACGTCCAAACTTGGACTCCAAGCCCCCACATCCCAAGTCCCGGACTCAGTGTGGTGCAAGGACCTCCACCACCTCCTCTTCTCATCAGTCGGTTCGGAAAGAGCCGGATCCACGACAAGAGAGCAACAAGTCTTCCAAGCGCCCATACCCAAGTATGCGCTCGGGACAATAATCTGTGACTTGCCCACACTGTCTTATGCAACGACCGGTCCTTAATCGACATAGACAGGGAAAAAGTGTAACCGAGCTATGCCTGTTGGCCGCAGGACACAACCCTTTACACCCACCAATACCCAAACCATATCCCTGCCCGGTCACCATTTACCTTTCCATCATTTTATCATGAGTGATCATATTTTATCACCTATTTGTGGGTAACGGCAGGTTACTCACGCTACCGATATCCTGAGCATAGCAGCTACTCGACCTGTACTAGTAGGACTCATGGGTAGATATATTTATGCAGGTAGTTTCCATAAAATGCCTGTAACTTAAATGCACATCACATATATATATTTAGTGTTCATAAAAGTATGGGTTATGCTCCGGGGCTTGCCTTGGGCAGGTGCCGGGTCAGCAAAGTCAGCACCAACAGGCTCCTGGGCTTCCTCCTGCACGAAGATCTCCTCCTCGTACTCCTCGATCACCTCGTCGTACTCCGGCTCACCGACGGGCACGAAGTCTACCAGTTCGTGATCTACATGAAATGATGATGCAATGTTTAATAATATGATGACAGCAACTCTTAACCTAAAAGTACGTCTATGACAATACTAAGTGAGATCTACCCACTACAGCTAAGCTTCGTATCATCACCACTAACAAGAATTAAACATGACATACAGTCTTATAGCAATTACCGATATTCTTGCTCCTAACGCTAATTTACACTATATATGATAATGCAAAGGTAATAGCTACTCTATCTAGCAACTCGTGCTAAGGCTACAAAATTTACAGCAAGTATATAATATCTTAGTGAACATACTGTAAAAGTTTTAAAGCTAAAACTATTACCGATTTGCCACAAGAAGTCCTACAAATATTAATCTACATAATGCTAAGCTTTCTAATTAGAATTTATGAGCCTATCATCATAACAGCTAACTACGAACTAACTACACTAACAGATAAATGACATTTTTGTGAACCTAACAAAATTAGTCTCACTATTTTTGGACCACTACACATTTTACTACAATTTATCAAAGTTCAATTCATATCTGAAATAAATAAACATTTCTTATTTACTGGAAACTACGAAAACCGAATTCCTCCACTTCGGCCCACTCGCGCGGCTCGGCCCACGACGGCGCATCCCGCGCGCCAGCGCAGCGCAGCCCACGTGCGTGCGCGGCCCAGCCGGCCAACAGCCCGCGATGGGAGAGACCCGCACGCGATGGCAATTATGCACGGACACCACCGAAGTACTATGTAATTACCGCAAGCGCTAATACACTATTTCACCAGTCTATGCTTTTACAGTTACGTCCTCCCTTTCCTTCTTCTTTACCACGGCGATGCCCCTCAGCGCCAGTGCGCGCACCGGCGCGGGCACTGAGCAGCCACGCCGGCCTCACCCGAACCTCTACGGTCTACCTAAGGGGCCGATGGTTACCTCAACGACAAGTAGAAGCTACTGGAGGCGACACGGCGAGTAGAGGCGCTGTCACGAACTCCCTCCCCGGCGGTGGCCCCTGACCTGCGATGGCGGGCACGTCCCCGTGAGCTGTAGTGAAATCGAAACAAACCAAAAGGCTAGCGAGTTCGAGAAACTACCCACGGATACCCCTGAGGCGACGGTCTGGCCGGAGAAAGCTCGAGTAGTGCAGGCCGCGTGCGCACCGACGAAGGGACAGTGCCCGGCGATGGCCCGGCCACGGCAGTTGTGGCTGGTCTGCTACGAAGCTACAACTAAGGTGCGCGGGGTGCTTAGGAGGGTATGGCTAAGCTGAGGGTGCACTGAATCGCTACACGGTGCTCGGAGTGACTGGCTTGCCGTCAGGGAGCGTTCGTCCGGTCTTATGGACCCAGTGGCGCGGCATTACGAAATTGAAGCACAGTGAGGTGAGAACGGCAGCGCGGTGGGGTAGGTTGGACGACCGGCTGCCTAACGGAGCTGAGCGCGAGCCGAATTGGAGCCTAATGCAACGGTCACGGTGAATTTGAAATCTACGTCATGGCGGCCATGGAGACAGCGGGGCAGGGGAGGTCCTGGCGTGGCTTGGCTCGGTTCAGCGGTGGACGTCAACGCAACCGCCAAACACGTGCCACGAAGGGGACAGTAGGACGCGCCCCAGACGACTGGCCGCACGGCCACGACTACAAGCCGACGAGGTGGGCGCGGCGTCTCCACGGCAGCGCCAGACAAAGGCACAGCGAGATGTGACGCCGAGGTGACGGGAACGCAGGTGATCGTTCCGTGCGCGTGCAGCCAAGGCGATGTCAACGGGCGCAGAACCTTGCGTGGCTGATGGCGACACGAACGCGGGACACGGCGCGCCTCTGGCCAAAGCAGCGCAGAGCGGAGCATGGTGCGGTAGAGCTCGGTCCGTGACCTGGCGCAGCGCGACAGCCGATGAGGTGACCCACGCGCCAGGGAGGGCAGCAAGCAGCCACGGCAGCAGCGCAGGACCAGCGCGCGTCGCTTTCTCGGTTGCACTAAGACGTGGCCTGCGCCCCGACACGCTGGGCGAACCAGCCACGGCGGCGGCGAGCAACAGCGGTGGCAGGCGAGTAGCAGCGGTGGCTAGGGCCAGTAGACCATGCGTGTGCAAAGGCGCGGTGGCTAGGCACAGTCGAGCGCGGCAGTGGCGTGACCAGCGCGACGGTGGGCGCTGGCAAGCCAGCAGCCGGTGGTGACTGCGCCCAGGCTAAGTCAGGTGCCGTGCACGCTTTCTAAAGCGGTTAGAAAACTTATATGCAATGCTCCAAACGCTAAACTAATTGCTCGATGCGCAAGGGGGTTCATCAAGCTATCGACCGCAGT